CGAAGATTCTACTCAGATGTATAATTTCCTACAGAGTAGATTACTGCAATGGACTGCTTGTAGGTAATAACAGGGTTCAGCTTAAAAGCAGGACTCCAGATAAGGGTCGTATCGGCGTATGTACGGATAAAAAATATGCATGATACAGTAGGAAATAATTTAAAAAAACGTAGCAGATACGCACCATAACCATGGTGTACGGTATTAGAATTATTTACAGACGTATTTTTCTGAAAAAGTATTGTTTTATTGTTTATTGACCTGTTTACACAAGAGTAGCAATGTTGTGGTGCATACATGAAACGACGTTGAAACACAAGACTACTGATACGCCATTAAATTCCATTTAGTACTCTAAATGTACTCTTAAGTTTAGTACTCTAAATGTACTCTTAAGTTTTTCCGTGACTCTGTATTGAAAAAAATCAGGAGCACGCATTACTCACGCTGAAAAATTATCTGAACCCTGTAAAAGAGTGCAGAAAATACAGAATACTGCTGCCCTGCATCATTTTGTTATTAGTGCCGTGTTCATATAACCTCACTGGCTACCCATTGAATAACATCAACTTTAAAGTTCGCTGCACCATATACAAATGCATCCACAACCATACTACCTAACTGACTTGATCACTGTATACACACCAGCCAGAACTTTTCGATCTCACAACCAGCCCCAAGACTACTGAATTGACTACCAGTAAACATCAAAGACTCTGATTCTCTGACAGCTTTCAAATAACAACTGATGACTTACTTTTTTCCTCTGTATATACTGACTCTTTTCCCTCTTTCCCCGCTTTGAGCTTGCACTAGTGTGAGGATTATAGTGCATAAGAAATGGCCATTATTATTTATTATAAATACTACTTATTTAGAACAATGTTCATTCTTATTACTATTTTGAAGAAATTATTTTACCTGTTGTGAGAAACATTACTTGAAGCACCCTTCCAAAACATGATGTAATTTTATTTCCAATACTAGAATGAGACAAAGGGTGATATCAATATTATTGGTGAAACATTACAACAGTATGAGTTTAGACAGATACAGGTTAAGGAGCTCTTTCTGTATGGCACAATGACAAGCATCTCCCAAATCATGTTTAAAATTGTAAACAACATAAAATTGCTAATTACTACCCAACCTAGAAGAATGAGTTAATATAAAAACTATTTAGAATTGTTCCAATTAATATTAAAAGTATGAAGATTTAATATTTAGGATCAATGTATTAATTTGAAGATAAACATTTTACAAAATAGTAACATTAACTAAGTGCATTGACATTATTGTGTGAAATGATTACACAAAGTAGAATGAATATACATAGATGACAATATAATGACAAGGCCAGTGTGATGACCAAAAGAGAAGCCATTTAAGTGTAACGGAGGTGTAGTGACTGGGCTGCGTATAAAGTGCCGTGGGTATACCGTAACAAGGAAATTCCTATGGTGACACTAACATAACCGCAAAAATTATTTCCATTTGTGATTTATTTATGATAAGATAAAAAATAAACGTTCAAACTAAAGAATAAAATAAAGGTAGTTATACATAAAACAGTTTACTGTGTTAATGAAACAATGATACTAACTTTTCTTGAAGGCAAATGTAAAAAGACAAGAAACGTTTAACGTTACCATAACCGTACGGTAGCTGGGTACTGTCTATTAAAGTTGACAAGGATGTACGTATGGCTAGCGGCTTCACAAGTACATGTACATGACGCCCGCCACATTTAACCTATATACAGATTAACAACAACACAAACGATATTACGCTTGGTGACACTGGAATACCGATGTTGACCACGCTGGCACTGTGTGATTGATACAACTTTACAACGCTAACTGACTGACAACAAAAACTTTGTAATATTACACGCGAGATGTGGCTGTTAGGGTGAATTGCCTCCCTTGAATATACTACAGTCGATAAAACGAACACATGCACACGGTCTCTGAACGAGAGTGAAATAGCGACGACCCATGGCCCACGTGAGTGTTCAAGAAAGTTTATCAGAATCAGACTCTGACTCTATCTCTGTTAAAGAAGAAATAACGACAGGTGGGTAATTGTACTAGCCATCATAATCTCAGATGTCTAGTGTGATCAGGATTGAGTCGTTTTGGACAGTTCTATTAATCGACATTAGCTAGAACTCCTCATCGAGTTCCTCTCGTCCTACCGTTTTGATCGCAAACAGAGGGACTAACTACATACGGTTTCGGTATTGGTTGCGGAATATGGACTCGTCCGTCGTTTAGGGTACCGTGTACGTTTCTGTAGTTTGACTTTGTTAAGGGTACATATCTGTATACAGAAACGTACCTGGGGTACATATCTGTAGTACCTGTGCCGACAACGACCACTTCAGCGTATGTTAGTGTAACGCAATCAGGATACAGATGTTGTCACTGTTGGAGTCTCAGCACTGTACCAATGGATGGTTTTATATAGTGCCAAAACCCCGGCCATGACAATATATACCTTGATGCTAGTTTTCGCGTTACAAGGTCTAAAACATGATAATCAACGTAAAAGACTCACCATACTTACCGACTGTTGCTCGGGAAATCAGTTTTTTTACGCCTCCGTGGTGTAGTGGTTAGAGCATCCGCCCAGAGAGCGGAAAGTCGTGGGTTCGATCCCCGACCGCGTCATACCAAAAGACGTTAAAATATGGTACTTGTTGGTCCCTGCCTGGCCCTTGGCATTAATGGGTACAAGGACTGGTCGGCTCGGAGTCAATATAATGTGTCTTAGTGGGGTATTCATGCATCACTGCGGCATGGTATCTCAGTGGGCTAGCACTATAAAACCAGCTTCAGTCTGGGCTAATACAAGCAGCCGCACATACACATACACACGCATGCACGTCGTCATATGAGCGAAATATTCTCAAGCGCGACGTTAAACCCAATTTCACCTCACCAAGCCTGATCATCTTGTCTGCATATATTGCAATAGGACCAGTGAGGTAGCAGATGTAAATCTCACTCAGATGATCATGTTTATAATGATGTGACAACATGGAATGGACCATGTAAAACGAACCAGTTTTTAGTTATGAAATTTCATAATGAAGTCACAACAAGCTCAGTTCTACTTTTTTACTGAGACTTTATTACTAAGCCGCAGATGATAAGAAATCAAATAAAAATAAAAAATGCAATTTTCTGAAGTCACTGAAGAGATACATGCACACTGATACAGGCTTGATGCTAAGTTCACATATTGTTGAGATGTTTTCATAAGAAACAGCTGTAATTAGGTTCCAACAGAAAAAAACAATAGTTCTGTTACATATCTAGTTCATTCAGATTTTATATATTCTTTGTATTTGTGTGACATAACATGATAAAGATCTAGCCTTTGGTTTTATTTTGACATTCACTGATTCAGGTATACTAACATTAACAGTATCAAAAGTGTACCTTAAAAAATGGGCCCTCATGAACAAACTAGCTGATCCTTCTAGATGCAGCTACCTCTTGCCTGACACCCCAGTCTGGGGTTAACAAGCTGAGGCTTGTAATTTGAAATGATTATATTGTGATGATAAGTCTGTTGTGTTGAATATTAATTTATGTTTCATTTTATGACCACCACATAACATTTGACTTAGAAATGTAACAGTCTGATGTGTGGCATTTTCAGATCTACCTAAGATAACACCAAGAATGACAACACAACAGGAGATGGCCCTCCACCTCCATCTGGCCTGGCAGACGCCATGGCAGCCATTTTAACCAAGTCTGTTCAAAAGGGTGCAGTTATTTTGGCTAAAGGTCAAACTGATAAAGAAACTGTGTTCGAAGAGGAAGAGAGATAAAGAAGAAGGAAAGTTATCGAAGATGACAGTGATTCTGATGTTGAGAATAAAAGAGAAAAATTTGAAAAGGTTCTTTTTATGCATACGTTGTAATAATGAAATTTGTTGATTTCTAGTCCATTTGCCACGGTTATTTGCTTGTCATTCCAAAGACATTGATTTCCTTACTTTGGCTATACCACTGATTTCATCAAAATCATTATTGGTCTCTTGCTTCAGCCCATACGATCTAAGCAATGTCACCTGTAATAAAATGTCCCATAGTGGTTCTCATAGCATATAATCTCAAACTTAAGAGTAAACTTCATTTGCAGAGGAAAGAGTGGAATAACTTGTGTCGGGTGAAACCAGATCCAATGGAACGCAATATAGAACGCCGCTTTGCAGCTTAATAGCAACACGGTGAGTGACAGTTACGCAGATACTGTTGTATCATGCCTGTACGACAGTACTGTATCAGCTTAATCTCATGTTGTGTTATGCACTAATAACTGCCTTTAATATGATTACACCTTATTCTCAGTGTTATTCTACCTACATGTGTGGTCCATCTATTTGTACCTCTGCTCTCAGACTGTTTGTCTACCTGCAACCACTTCTGTGGTCTAGCAGATTGATAATCTGTCCAGAGAGTAGAAGGTCAATGGTTCAATCCAGAACCATGTCATTCAAAAGATGATAATAGAGGAATCTGTTGATACCCTGCTTGGACGCTCAGTCTTACAGGGATAAAAGGACTGTTTTGCCCAGAGACAGTATATTGTGTCCGAAAGGGATATCAGGGTTAAACTGTGACATGGTATCTCATGTAAAACTGTCATAAGTCTGAACAAGTGCTAGCAGCTTCATAAGCATGCACATCTGTATATAATCGCGGATAAGTGTGATGATCTTGAACAAAAAGTTTACCCATGAAAATCCAGGTTAGAATTGGTCTTCAGCAAGCCATCCTTGTTGTAACTGTAAGAGGTGAATAATGGGATTGGTTGGTCAGGCTTGCTGATTTGGTCGACACATGTCATCGATCCAAACTGCGAAGATCAATGCACATGATGTTGATCACTGGATTGTCTCGACAGACATGATTATTTACAGACCCCCGTCATATAGCTGGAATATTGCTCAGTGCGGCATTCAACAACAAAGAAAGAGAAAAATGAACAAAAAGTTAGTCCCCATTTCATCACACCTCAACTTATCTCCCTACAGGGGCGTCGTCCAGCTATTCAATGCTGTCCGTCAACAACAGAAAGTTTTGGAGGAGAAACTCACAGAAGCTGGTTCGTCCATCAAGAAAAGTGAAAAAGTGATGGAGTCCATGACCAAAGGAAAATTCCTTGATTTGTTGAAGGGTTCCAAACCTTCATTGTTAAAAGACTCTAAAAAAGTTACAAAGAAAGAACCGGTTTGTAGCTTTCATATTCTATTGTTGTCATCAGCAGATACTTGGGGGGTGTTTGTGTCATAGCTTTATACACTGTTTTATGTCCTTGTTACATTAACGATGAACCTAGCACATGGATTTGGACTATAATTTATATGTTCTCAAACTTTTTTTATTTTGATATACGAAACTGGTCCAAAATATATGCATTGTTCCACCTTTGGCAATGGTATTCAGAAATTTTACAAAACTCTGTCTGCTAAGTGTAGATTGATGATCATCATTATCATAAATCTGGAAAAGATGCTTTACCCACAATCATATGTAGGTAACACAACATACCAATTGGATCTGGTCTACAGAATTATGGAATGATAAACTGCCTGAGTCCACTGTGTATAGCCAACAATCAGGCACTTTTGCACTAGTTATTATACTCACACTTTGCTAAGGAGGCAGTCTAATCCAAACTTTATCAAATATCATAGTTAAATTTGGTCTTGTGATCCATTGAAAATGGATAAATAATTATTTATGAACCCCTCTGAGAGGTATTTTAAGTGTCCTTTATGGGACCTTAACTTGATACATGAGTATTTTCTGAATGTCTTTAATCAATCTTGCTTGAACATTGCTTTAAAAAGCTTGTAAAACCAGACTCAATTTTAGTTTCTTGTTTAACCATAAAATTTGTCCTGGCACCAATCAACCATCTCAAAAGGAACGAAGATTGACAAGTACACAACACCTCTGAATAGCAAAATCACTAGATGCAGTCATGGTGATAAGTAATGTTCCATGCTTAAATGCTTAGATATTTAAACCAAATTAGGCACATCATATGCTGTGAATCAATGATTTGATCTTTAAAAGTGTGAATAACATATTATACCATTGTCAACATTAGGCAGTTTTTGGGCCTATATCATAGTTAAAGAAGGATGTTTTTATGTTTTGAGGTGAAAAAGTGATATTTATAAACTCTTTTATTTAATGTCTGAAAACAGGACAACTTTGCAAGTAGTGGTGCATGAACATCTTTGATCAATCTCGTTTGGTCTGGCTTTAACTGCCTTTAGTTTGAGGGTAAATTGTATTAGGGGATCATTTGGCTAATATATCTACCTCTCTGTGTCTGAGATTGATCACATTTCTGTCATGTTTCAGACATTGAAACAGGAAGAGGAGCCCACAAAGTGGAAGATTTTAAGAGACTAATTTTATGATGGGTGCCAAGATGAAGGACTGGGACAAAGACAACAGCAGTTTGACGAGGGAGAGGATGGGGAGGAGGGGGTACAGATTTGTCAGATAGCTTAATGAAGAAATAAACCTGTGTGATTGTATTTCACTGTGTTTTGTGGTCATTGACTACCACTGTTCTTTGACTGTTGTTGAAGAAGTGGAATCTGATTCGGCAGATGTATCATGGTGTGAACATAATTATCTTCAAGTGAATGTGAAGACTACTAACGAACTTATTACTGACTTCAGAAATAACAAGAACACCAAGTTGCCAGTTATAATTAACAATGAACCTTTGGAAACTGTTAATGAATACAAGTATCTTGGTACATATATTGATAACAAACTGAATTATGATGTAAACACAGATGCTATATTCAATAAGTGTCAACAAAGGTTACACTTCTCGCGCAAATTGAGATCTTTCAATGTTAATCAATTAATTATGTGTCTTTTCTATCAGTGTTTTATACAGCACGTTCTGGCGTTTTCTGTACAATGCTGGTATGGAACCTTCTCCCTTAAAAACAGAAACTGTCTCACCAGAATAGTTTTATTAGCCAGTAAAATTGCAGGTGTATATTTTGCTAACCTAAATGAAATATATGAAGAAAGAGTTCTCAAGTCAGCCCGTAAGATTATATCTGATCCAGATCATCCCATCTACTATGAGTATTAATTACTGCCTTCTGGGCGCCGTTATAATTTACCCCGTTTTAGATCCAATCGTGCCATGAAATCCTTTGTTCCTGCCAGTATTAATCTCTTAAATGATTCCTTGTTAGCATGTTATGTGTGTGTTATTTATTGTATGAAAATAATTTCATCGTTTTATCAATGTTTGAGCTCTTTACTTTACACAAGAATTCCCTCCCGGGTAATAAAGTATTGTCATTGTCATGGTCAGCACATACTGTTCCCAGCTGTTGACATATATGTTTATAGTGTATATGTTATCTGGATTGTGCCACAATATGTTCATGAATAGACTTTTTTTGTTCTGGAAATGAGTCAAGTGTATAGAAACTTTAGCTTGTTCAATATTTTGATTCTTTGATTTATATCATGCCTAACAGACAACAATGATGTTGTTCATGGGCGGGGGTAGCCTACTGGTTAAAGTGTTCAGTCATTATGCCGAAGACCCAGATTTGATTCCCCACCTTGGTATACTGTGTGAAGCCCATTTCAGGTGACCCCTCTGTGATATTGCTAGAATATTGCTAAAAGCAGCGTAAAATTAAACTCACTCACTGTTGCATTTTTAGATATATCGCAACATTTTTGTGGTCAAGTATATTGCGTTAAACAGATGTTAAAAGTTTTGATATTATTCATTTGTTTTTACTTAAATTTACACAGAAATTCATTAACAAATTAGGTTTCCCTTTGAAATTTACTGACAAACCCGCAGAAACATTGATATTTCACTCTAATACTTTTCTCCTTAGAATTAATGATGGATTAACTGGCAGCAACAGACCAGGTTGAGTAATTTGTACCATGGTGTGTAGAAAATAGGATCTGCATGTAATTCAGTGTCAAAAGCTGACAAACACTTCAGCTATCTGTTGTAACGTCATCACATCTGGAAGATCTGGGTTAGAATTGCTCTTCAGCAACCTACGTTTGTTATAGGAGGCGACACAAGGGATCAGGAGGTCAGGCTTGGTTGACATGTCATCGTATCCCAATTGCGTCGATTGGGGCATCATTATTTTTTATATTTTCACGTAGCCACCAAATAAATAAAATTAGAAGGGTCGGTCGGGTGATGAGAAACACAGAAAAAAAAAATGCTGCCCCTGATGCTCATGATGTCCAGACTCACATATTTACAAATGGAAAAATGCAAACAACAAACAAAAAACAAATGTTGTGACATCATAGAACACTTGCATGTCTTAACACTTAACATTTTTACGTGTTGCATAATTCAGAAAGGAACATCAAATGTGGACATAAACGAAGAGTGTTGAAAGTTTGTAGTTCACAAATCCTGCCAACTACGTGTAATTAGTTGTATGGGTACTAGCATTACTAGGTCACAGAAGGCACAGGTGAATATTACTCCACATAACTCCATGGATAACGAGGGGCGGTGGGGTAGACTAGTGGTTAAAGCGTTGGCTCATCACGCCGAAGACCCCGGTTCGAATCCCCACATGGGTACAATGAGTGAAGCCCATTTCTGGTGTCCCCCACCGTGATATTGCTGGACTATTGCTAAAAGCGGGGTAAAACCAAACTCAGTCAGGCAGCCATGGATAACGAGGAGCCAATCTCTGGGAATTTTTCACCTTGTAAACGATGCACAGGGGTTAAAGTTTTATGGGACCATATTTATATTCATGGGCATGGTGAGATCTAGTGCCTCATGATCTAATGGTGTTTCCCGGAAGGAAGCTTTCAGAATGTCCATCTTTGTAACGTCCAACGCGTGATTCAGCTCATGGGGTGGCGGGGTAGCATAGTGGTTAATGTGATCAGTCGTCACGCCGAAGACCCGGTTCGAATCCCCACATGGGTACAATGTGTGAAGCTCATTTCTGGTGTCCCCCGCCGTGATATTGCTCGAATATTGCTAAAAGCGGCGTAAAACCAAACTCAGTCAGTCAGCCATGGATAACGAGGAGCCAATCTTTGGGAATTTTTCACCTTGTAAACGATGCACAGGGGTTAAAGTTTTATGGGACCATATTTATATTCATGGGCATGGTGAGATCTGGTGCCTCATGATCTAATGGTGTTTCCCGGAAGGAAGCTTTCAGAATGTCCATCTTTGTAACGTCCAACGCGTGATTCAGCTCATGGGGTGGCGGGGTAGCATAGTGGTTAATGTGATCAGTCGTCACGCCGAAGACCCGGATTCGATTCCCCACATGGGTACAATGTGTGAAGCCCATTTCTGGTGTCCCCCGCCGTGATATTGCTCGAATATTGCTAAAAGCGGCGTAAAACCAAACTCACTCACTCACGCCAAAGGTGTGGACCGATGTCTAACAGGACATGTGGTTGGCTTTCACAATTCTAGAACTGTCCCTAGTAAGAATGGCTAAATTGGGATGGGTTGGTTGCTATGAGAAACCTATTACATGTTACTTTTGGAATTACACATTTTTAGTTGAGCACGTCTTAGGTTGAGTCCTACCAGGGAATTGAAACCACCCTCAGAGTAAGGGATTAATCGCCAAAACACAAAGTCAGGGATGTAACCCATCCAGCCACCCAGGGTTCCGCAAAAACTGATGTTGGACAACAGAACACGTACTCGGGGTACTGAGTACCCCTTTAAATAGGTGTTACAAATACGGTTCCGATGACAAATATTCACTTTATATACTGACTCCATGAAATACCGTTGACGTCAATAGCCATACACTCACTGTTGATGCTGTAGTTGTTCCAAGTCAAAAGACACGTGAAGGTCCGTGTTAGAATTGGCCTTCAGTAACCCATGCTTGTCGTAAGAGGCGACTAACGGGATCGGGTGGTCAGGCTCGCTGGCTCGGTTGACACATGTCATCGGTTCCCAATTGCTCAGATCGATGCTAATGCTGTTGATCACTGGATTTTCTGGTCCAAACTCGATTATTTACAGACCGCCGCCAAATAGCTGGAATATTGCTGAATGCGGCGTAAAACTAAACTCACTCACTCAAGTCAAAAAGATATAAAAAACACAACAACAAATGTTCTTAACAATTTATTACAAAATGTAAAATTTCTTGGAATAATTAACATTATTTCCACAAGGACTATTTTGATGTTATACGTAAAGCCGCCCTTTGCCTGGTATATGTCCGAGGTTGGTTAAGAAGTAGAGTGTCAGTAACGCCCAGACTAAACACGGTGACAGTCATGGGTTTGGCGAGTGATGTTGCTGTGATTGTCATATTGGCTGCGTCCACCGTCAGATCCACGGAGTTGCCGCCGTAGTCGATTCCGGTGATGGAGAGGCGTGAGGTTGACGGAGGGAGGTTGGGGCTGAACACTAGTTGTGTATCCTCAATCCGGAATCCCCCATAGCCAAAGATCATCGCCTGGAGATATCCTCCCATACCGGTGTGGAAGTTGACGGCGCCACTGCCATCGGCGTTCTCTGTCCAGATCTGAGGAGAATAGACGGTGAATAGTTATATTTTTCCTAGTAGAAAATACGTTGCAACCCAATACACGATTATAGGTTTGAATCCCCAAATTTCCTTGATGACTCTTACGTTGTGTTGAATTTTCTGGAACCTTCTCTCACCAGAGCTGTAAACGTATACATACTAACTAATGTCATCTAAATTGCTTATCTACTGCACTGAGCTGTCAAGCCTCAAATAGCGTTAAGATTGCTGTTTCAGCCATAACTTACAACCACTCACCGGGTAAACCAATCATTAGTCTTTCTCCCAGACCCGGGCTCATGCTTATAATTTTGAAAGAAACAGATAGTTCCATTTTAATTGAAAAGAAGCCCCAACAAGTTGGGAGATTTAGAACCTGAGGAAATCTCGACTTTCCGCGCTCAGCAGAGGGGGAAAATAATCTGGTTTAAGGACTGTGAGACAGATGATACCTGACCCAACAAAATGAATTAAAGAGATGTCAGTCAGTGATTGGGCTAGTCTAGATTGCCCCAGCTTTCTTTCTACTTACATAAAAAGGTTTTTGGACATTTAGGATGGTGCGCTGGAACAGTGAGTCGGCCTTGACCTTGTCACCTAGCTCCAACCAGTTGATAGTGAAGATGCCCCACGTCATTGCCGGTCCGCCAGGGGTCGCCTAGTGAACACGCACAGACACGCGTTGTTATGTCACATCCAAATAGCTAATTAGCTTTACATTATTAAATAAAAGTCATGTTTGAATAAGTGATTTATATACTGAACATCATTGAAAACGCACCAGTTATAAAAGTTCAGATTATTAAAAGCACGTGTAAGGAATTGATATTTTTTGAGTGGATAATAACAGATGGGCGACTGACAAAAACACCAACACAGAAAAG